AGAAAATGTGGCCAACCCTAGGAAGTCTTGGGCCATTCTAAATGCAGTCACTGGGCGTTCACGTCGCCGCCAAGATCCAAGTTGTAGCATCAGTGAGGTGGCCGACACGTTCCACTCCATTGTAACCGATCCCAACCATCCTGAACAACTCTGCACCCCGCACGGTGCCCCTGGACCTGTCTCCTTGACCGAACTTGATCCTGTGACTTCTGCAGACGTCCGACGTCTCCTTGAGAAGTTGGATGCGCGGAAAGCCACAGGTAGTGACCGCATACCGGGCTCTCTGCTACAGCAGTGTGCTGACTTGCTTGCATATTCTCTTGCTGTGCTGTTCTGCACCTCGCTGAGGACTGGAAGCATTCCATCCGCATTTAAATTGGTGTCTGTCGTGCCACTGTAAAACGCCGGTGACCCATCAGTCCCCACCAACTATAGACCTGTATCCCTTCTCCCAAAAGTGTTCAAGTTGTTCGTCATTTGGACTTGACCAAGGCATTACCCGAAACACAATTTGCCTTCCGCAAGAAATGTTCTCCAGAAGACGCCCTCTGTGTGCTGACTGATAATCTGCAGAAGGCGAGAGGCAGTGGCAAGATCACAGGGCTGTGCCTACTAGACAATTCGAAGGCTTTTGATAAAGTGCACCCCGACAAGTTTATCCAAGACCTCCTTGCGATTGGAATTTCTGGAAATGCCCTTAGTTGGTTCGTCGACTACTTGTCCGGCCACAAGCAGCAGATCCTCATCTCGCCTTCAACCAGCCCTGCTCTGGCTTGCACCTGCGGAGTGCCCCAAGGCTCTGTTCTCGGCCCTGTCCTCTTCAGTATATACACACGAGAAAGCCATCGCGCGACAATCGCGCGATGACTTTCCCGTACGCGAAATAGTCGAGAACTGCAGAATTCGACGAAGACGAACGAGGAGGTCTCTTTCGGTACCCCTGACGGGAAGGAGAACTGCAGCAGTCGACAAAGTTGAACGAGGAGGCCCCTTTCCGTACCCCGTACCGCAAAGTGCCACTGATGAATGTCTTCTGCACCTGGAAAGCCCCCCCCCCCCCCCGTAAACGCTGTCGCGTAGGCGGACTGAATGCGCAGGGCAAAAATATTGCTGCAGAGACGTCCGTTCTAGGCCTTTGGAGACATGGTGCGAACTTCTTCCGCTACCCCCGTACCGCAAAGTGCCCCGTAAACGCTGTCCCGTCCGCCGACAAAAAATATTGCTGCAAAGACGTCCGCTCTAGGCCTTTGGAGGCATCGTGCGAACTCCTTCCGATACTCCCGTCCCGAAAAGTGCCATTGAGAAATTAATGGGAATGCACTGACCTGACGGCGTGACGGGGAGGACGGCAGAAGTGGACGCAGACGAACGATGAGGAATCAAGACGAGCGAGCAATGGCAGGACTGTACGTAATCGCTCAATTAGAAATGAGAACTTGACATTCATGGCTTTTGCCTCTTGCCACTGCATATTTTTTGTCCACTCACAATGTCTTTTCTCTGCCCCTGTGTGCCCACGGCCCTGTTGCTGCACTGGCCCGATGAATCGAATGTCTTCTGCAACTGGAACGGCCCCGTAAACTCTGTCGCGTCGGCGGACGGAATGCGCAGGACGAAAAACATTGCTGCGAAGACGTCCCCTCTAGACGACGGTAAGGCATCCCTTGATATGTAGCCGCAGCCAGTGTGTGCGATGGTGTCGCGTGATGGTGAATGAGGAATGATGAAGGGTACGGATAGGTGGGACGGTAGACCTGTTATCTTCCAACACGTTATCAGGTCGACAGCGCATTGTACTCACTCTATTATTGTAGTTCGTTACGTTTTTAAAGGTGTGAGTGTATATCTTGCCAATAGTTAATGGTGTACAGTCGCACGCTACAGACGCCATGTTCATTTTCAGGGTTTGCAAACTGTACGCGAAGAAAGACAGCATACCGCCATCCTGCGTTCTCAATGACTTTCACCTTGACACTGTACCCCAGTGCTTGTCGCGACTAAACTCATTCAAAAAGGGGAACCCTTCCAGACATGTTACAAACTAGACACAAAGTATGGCCCAGTCGACCGCATTCAAAGCGGGTGAGGTGCCAAGAACAAAATACTCCACCTTCCATTGCCAATTGACGGCAACCCGCGTCTCATGCATGACTTGTGTGCTGCCAATACAAACATCATAGTGAACTGTGTACCAACCAGTGCGAAGATTATCTGGAAGCACCTTGTCAGGCCGAAGGTTGTCGTCGCAGCCTTGCAGTGGTTATCTGAGGAGGCGAGACGAAAGATTCATGAATTGCTTGCACATGTGTACCAGTTGTACCGGCTATGCGAGTGCCATGGTGACAAACGAATTCTTATTGAGCTTTGAGACACATGTCAGCAGGGCGTTGTTGCATCACTGACCTCTTGCAGTCATTCCGTGAATGCTATTTTGCGCGAGTTAGCATCGCACTCAGCATCGCAGATCGTGTCGAATTACGCATCACACTGCAAAATTGTTCCTCTGCATGCCAGTGGATTTCATTGCACTTCTCAGTTTGGGAAATGCTTGAATATGATAATTCTGCGTTTGAGTGCACTAGCCCTGAACATACATGTACGTGACCCGTTTGTGGTGTCTCATAGCTTATCTCACGACCTTCTGCTTTCTTTCTGCATCACTTCTATCTTGCAGGTATATCATCCTGTGACGACCACATTGAAGTCTGAATTTGAATTGTGAAGATTCTTCAGCAACCACATCGTACTTTTCCATTGCTTTCATTGTGCTTCTAGTGTGCATGTGTGTAACTTGTGGGGTATACTTGTGATTACATTGTGTGCTGGCGACACGGTCAGATTTTGTCCATGCGTGTAACGTACACCTGCATGTTATGCATTGAAAATGATCTGCCACTTGCAATCCTGGGACGAGTATCAGGTCAGCTTTGTCTTGTGTGGGCTGTACCAGATTGCTGTTCACTTCTCTATCTGTTGGATATGTGACTTTCTGCAAGTTTCTGGTGTATGGTGGCCACTTCTTTGCTTGTAACTTTGTCTGATATTACATTCTGTATTCGCTGCTTCCACAGCGTGGTTTGCAAACTGCAATCCTTGGGCTAATGTCATGTTTGCTATGTTGTGCTTTGGCCGTCAGCTTGTCTACACGTTGTAGTTGAATTATTTTGTTTCACAACTGACTTCCTGAAGTACGGTGGCCACTGCTTTGCATGGCATTTATATACATGAAGAATTTCCTGTTTTTGTCGTGTGCATGTGGGTATGTGTGCGTGGCCACGTGCGTGTGCCGTGTGCATGCGCGTGTTTGTGTATCTGTGTGCAGGGTAGCGAGGTGGGGAGGGCTGGTATGTATCAGTGTGTTATTGCAGTCTCATGGCTACATACAATACATCGCGCGCGTGGTCATCATGTTTACCTTCGGGGTTGGGGTGGGGAGGGAACGGAAAAAGAACTGAAATTATCCATATAAAAACCGCTCTGTGAACGGTTCTGAAAAACCTTTACTGGTACTGCCCCATCGTAAAAGTAAGAAATTAGAACTGGCCCATTGTCCCCCCAAATGCGAACTGATCCATCTAAATCGCGAATGACGGAACCCAAACGCACCAGTAGCACGAGGTTCCTACCTGTGGGTGCAGATGGGGACGTTGGTCCGGACTATAGGACATGTACTGTACTAGCGGTAGGTGGTGTTACCCTATGATAACTGCTGTCCTGTGCCCTCCTGACCTCGTGCTACTGGTGCGTTCGGGTCCCGTCATTCGCGATTTAGGTGGATCAGGTCGCATTTGGGGGGACAATGGGCCAGTTCTTCCTCTATGAACGAATTTGTTCTGCGCCAGCATACCAAAGTATGCAATTTCGTAGGCGCAGTTTGAGTAACGAGGCCTGTGCACTGTACACCTGGTACACTGTACTGCATGCACTGACTGTGCGGTCGTTCTCGATTCTCCCATCACTCCCATTCAGTTCTGTTTCCAGCAAAAGTCCAACTTGGCGCACTTCAAATCCCTATAACTCAAGAATGGCTGGGCCGATTTGAATAATATTTGCAGATTTATTATGTACTACGCCCCGGGAGAATTGAATGAGACCAAAATCGAAGCGATCGGAGCAAGTTTTGGAAATTGGGTGTAGTCATTACTTAAAACACAAAACAATGTAGAACAACAGACCGACGAGAAGAGCAACAAAACGACAACAACCAAAATCAACCAATACAGCAAAACTGAACAAGCAACGGACTGAACGGAGAGAGAAACACAATACATCGAGCAAGACAACAAGACGAACAACAAAGGACGACACACAGTCGGTGATGCCAGACTCTTCCACTGGCCACTGGCCTGGTGAGCCATGGCCACACGCTCCAACGCGGTTCCTGCCGTCCAAGGCTCCAGTCCACAGTTTAAGTCAACCACCTTTTCTGCCTCCTCTCCATCGTCTTCCGCTTCCACCAGCTCCTCATCTCTCCTGATCACTTCCATCCCCACCCTTACTCTCCAGTTGTACTATTTGTTGTTGACGACGACGAAGAACAGACTCATGACAAACTAACTCATCCTCTGCGTCCCGGGTTTCTGCACCAAGTTGTAACGGAATCTCGGCCATTCCGTTCCCCAGGACACAGGACACAAAGGACAAGGCTAGTTTGGTTTACATCGTATATTTGGACATTACGGAAAAGTAGACTACTCTGACAGAGACAAACAAGAACTGAGAAAAGACTGAGAAAAGGACCCTCGACTAAAAAATCGCGCATGCTCATATCACACATACACGCGACTAGACGAGACAGTTTGGGGAATGCCATTACACAGGAAAACAACACATCATTTTACAACAAGGGAAAAACAAAGAAAAATTGATTATGGAAACACACAATCTCAATCCTTGAACAAATTGTCATGTTACGTGGTGATGTCTGCGGCATTCATACTTTTCATAGCTATTATTAAACTTTTATCTCCACGTAGATAATCTCTACATGACTTACTTACCCAGACATTCTCCGGAAGTCCAGGTACCTTCACCTGCACAAACCAAAGGAAGCGGGTTCGCGAACATGTAACCTGTGTTGCATTGGACCATAAGAAGGCCTGACGTGAACGCATCACTGCCTGATGGTTGACTTTTCATCCGTGTAATTTTTGCATTTACAATTTTGGGCGCTGAAAGGCAGTTGGTAAATGCTGCAATACATAGAGCACACCACATGCGAATCGGTTAACTTGCTTCTTGGCTACAGGTTAACACACTATCATGGCTGCAGGTATTCCATTCTACCCAGGACTATGCTGGACCAGATGGTGCACCGATCCCTTACCCATAGGACGAGCAAGTACTGGATAACTCGTCCCAAACGTGTGCGAGGTATTCCGGAGGGCGAGTTTCCTTTTCCAGCCAGTGCATAATTTAGTATATACATATGTTACGTCGGTGGTTCAAATCTAGTGGATACTCCTTGAAGAAGTCAGCGGACAGAAGAGAGCCTAATTTGTGTTCCACGTGGCACAGAACTGTCACTCAGAAACACTATGCGATTTCTAAATATACAATACCGTACACACGATCATGTTGAAACATAGTTCATATGCTACGGGGCGAGACATAAGGATCGACGGGAAGCGACCACTCAAGTTTTGCGGCGTCCAATGTGAAAAACATTAACTGGAACGCAACCGTACTACTGTACAGATCGGGAACCAAGGGGAAGAGCTGGATCAGTTCAACTGTTCTTACCGTGAACAGGTGTAGACGGGATATAACCGTACAAAACGGCTGCATTTAGAATGTGAACAGGAAACGACATGGTCCGCCGACTACTCCAGATTCATACTTGGAACGTTGTAGCATTTCAAACACTATACGTCCCATGACAACTCACAGAATGGCTTACACGACTGAGTTGGATTTTAGCAAGATAAGTTTTGTGGCACTACCTATATGTATGGATAGTTGAGGACCATGCTAGACAAACTGTGGTATCATTCCCTGGGGCTATCATTAGAATTGCACAACTGTCAAGGCTACTTTTTTGTTTTTCATGAAAAACTGGTGTTGTGAACTTGATTCCACTTCATCCGAGGAGAAATAATTCAAAAAACATCACCCGTCATGGATCATTCCGGCTGTCCGTACAAGCCCTTACATCCCGTACCATCAGCGTTGCGTCGAATGTGAAACCGACTTTACATAATGTGTGATGTCAAACAATAATAAAAATAACGAGAGAGCTTGGAAGCTCAGGGCCCTACGCTATGTTTTTTTGCCTTGATGACCTAGACAAAAAAAGAATACGAATGTTATAACTTCTTATAAATTTCTCCTTTTTTAAAAGACATAACCTGGGATTCGAACCGGCACTATCGCCCTGCATGCATCCCCGATACACTTTGCTTACATACTAATTCTTCCAAGTTGCTTCACGTTATGATCTTGCATTTGAAAGCCCTATTTGAATATGCATTGTGGCCAGCCGTCTTTGATGGCACGGTACGGTACGGGACAGGTACGGGACAGGTACGGTCGAGGGTAATACGACACCGTCTACCGCCTTGATGACCTAGGCAAAAAAAGCATAGGGATGTTATAAACTTTTCAATTCTCCTATTTTTTTTTAGGCATAACCTGGGATTCGAACCCGAACTATCGCCCTACATGCATTCCCCCATACACTTCGCATTCATACTCATCCTACCAAGTTGCTTCACGTTATGATCTTGCGTTTGAAAGCCCTATTTGAATATTGCGGCCAGCTGTATGTGGCCAGCTGTGTTTGATGATACGATACGGTACGGGACAGATACGGGATTACGCCAGGCGTGACATAAACACACAAACAAACAAACCCCAAATTAAACTGTGTGGACCCTGGCTAGTGCCAGACGTTACTGAAGTAACGTCTTCAGCATAGCTACGGGAATAATAGTTACAGTTCGCATGTCACTCATGGAAGGATCCATGGGCTTAACGCATCTGTCAACGAAATCCAGGCAGAAGATCCAACAAAAAGCATCTCATTATTGTTAGAACGTATTGCAGTAAGAACAACTACGCAAGCGCAGCACATTTTTCAACAACCATCAGCCATTTTTTTCTTGTCTAGAGCCAGTTCAAACCAGTCAGATATATCAATATTGGCGTGCTTTAGATCATTTTTAATATTGTCAATCCGTCTGAGATGGGGTCGGCCATGTGGGCCCTTGATGTCCTGGGTATTAATTGTCATTTCCAGTGCTTGGTAGGACGCTGAGTTACGTCCTTCGCGAAAATAATCAGAGGATGAAATAGGTTTTACACCGAGTTTCATGCACTAAGTGATCATCAGAGAACAGTAATTATTTAAAAATCTGGATACGTAAGTATAAAATACATACTGAGTCCCGAGTGTTTACGGGAAATAAAAACTGAGATAAAAAACAACCGAGGCGTAGCCGAGGTTTTTTATCGAGGATTTTGATTTCCCGTAAACACGAGGGCGAAGTATGTATTTTATTTAAATCTATGCTAATAAAAAACGACACGTGCAACAGTTACACGAACATTGCATCCTTCGAATTACATGTATACGCATGCGCGAGTTCTTTCTCTTTCATTGCCTCGTGTTTGTCGAAGAGATAGCTGAGAGTGAGTGTCCGAGTCGCTTTCTTTCGTTATCAGACGAAGCGAAGCAGAAGCTTTTTGAGGATGCTACCACTGCCTCAACGAGAGCAGCAACCAGACATTGGTTGACTGTTTTGAACGATTTTGTTGTCGAAATGGGGATGCAGTGTGATTTAGAAAAGATCAGCGAGAAAGATTTGGCTGGGATTCTCGAGAATTTCTACTGCAGTCTGAAAAGGAAAAATGGCCAAGAGTATAAAAGATCGAGCTATTTAGCAGCACGCGGAGCTGTTCAGCGAGAGCTCAATCGTTTGGACCGTGGCATCAATATCCAGAGCCCGGTTTTCTCACGTGCCAACAAACTCCTGGATGCAACGCTCAAAGAGAAGAAGAGAGACGGACGTGAAATGGCCGTCAATCACAAGGATGGTCTATCAGAGGAAGACTGGAAGAAGGTGAATGCGTACTTTTCCGACGTGTCGACAACGCTGGATATCAAGAAGGTTACTTACTACATCTGGTTTCAGTGTACTCTTCACTTCTGTCTGAGGGGAAGTGAGGCCCAGAGCCAGCTGAAGCCATCGAATTTGCAATTCACGACAGTTGCTGGCGAGAGGGCCATCGTGTTGCACTGTGATTTCCAATCAAAGAATCACCATGGTGGCCTTCGCGGAACCAGCTCAGATACGAAGGTGCTATCACCAAGCCAGAGACGATCTCAGTATTTGAGCGATTCCTGTCGAAACTGAACCCACAACAAGATCGCTTGTTTCAACGGGCCAGGTAAGGAGCAACCGTGCTATCTGAAGACTGTCCCATTTGCTTTATGAACCAACCCATGGGCCACAATACGCTGGGCAAGATGATGCGCAACATTTCTGAAGCTGCTGGGCTTTCGTCAATTTACACCAATCACTGCGTGAGAGTGACTTCCATTGTGAACATGAAAGCAGCAGGAGCGGATGACCGGAAAATATGCGCATGCGCAGTCAGTGGACACAAGAACGTCCAGTCCTTGCAAGTATACGATCGCCCCACGCATAGTGATGTGAAATCGTTGTCCAAGGCTATTGACAAGGAGAACGAGAGCCCGCCCTCTGTCAGCAAGCCAGTGCCGACAGTAACCACGATGACGTCGGATGCTGCATCAACTGTTCCAGCCATAAATTCTCTTCTGAGTGCTGCAGGCTCATCCTGGAGTAATGTGACTGTGAACATCATGCCTGCTACGGAGAAACGCAAGAGTTAGAGCAAGCTCAGCCTGAAGCTGAAAAAGAAGCCCAAGAAGGAAGAGTGTACGTCACGTCTTGAACTGTCTTGCCATATGCTGTATTGATGTACTTTGTGTGTGTGTGTCACGGGGTGTGTGCGTGTAACTTCAATGATTCTGTGTTTGTGTGCTAGTTTAGTGCGTGCTTGCTTCCTTCTTCATCCCTAAAAAGGGTTTTTTATACGAGTGTTTATTTGCCTAGTGGTTTTTATTACTGGTTTTTTTATTGAGAACAATAGTTTTATACAGGTAATTATACAAAATAAATACCAGTTGTCCAAATGGGGAATGTGTGGAGGTTTTTTATTAGCATGATTTAATGGTTTATATGTTGGACTCAGTACAAAGTCCATGCACTATTATGATGTCCAGCACCCTCTATAGAGTCCATTGGTCCAAAATCCCCTATGCAGAATCCAAGAGTCCACTCAGGTTTGATCAGCTTGATCCAGTCATGAAATCCCGGAGTACACTTTCCTGCAAGTCCCCTTAATGTACACGGTCCAGGAGTCCAGTTTTTCCAGTCACCCCAACCTGTGCGTCCGAAAGAGAACAAACACCTTTTCAGTTTGCATCGTGGCAGAGCATAATTTTCTTCATTTCAGCCATGGCTGCCTGTTCTGCTGTGCAGTTGCTGACAGTACTCTGTCTTGAGATAACCAAGGAGGAAAAGGAGATGTTCAAGATCAAATCTGGAACCGTCTTGTGCTTCTCTGACTACGTTTTAGCAGTGCGCGGAATGACAGCAGAAAGCTGAGAACGAGAAAAGTTCACGGTACAGTTCCAATCTCACTGGTAAGATCCACTGACACTCTTTCGTTCGACGCCACAAGGATACCCGGTTTGACTGGACAAGAGCTGCCTTTACCAACAGTCGCCATCCACGGGCGTTTTTAAGTAAGTGCAGATGATCTAGTCAAACCGAGTTGAGTACAGAACTGGTGTGCGGTGCGAAGGAGACTGACACCCCAGAGTGACCACAGCTCGTTCAGAGAATATGACGGCAATTCAATGCCCGGGTGGCAGGAGTTGAGTATACACTAGTGCCTCTCTCAGAACGCCAATGGTCTCTAAATTCCAGTTCCCAGTCCAAGGTTGCAGGTTACGTCTGCCACGTTCATCTGGCAGAAGCTTGGAAACAGTTCCCTAGTTTTCGAGGTGATCTGAAAACCCAAACGGTGCTCTGGAAGAAAGTGTGACCTCCTCCCGAGGGATAGGAAATGACTAGATCGAGGCACGAATTTTTATACCCTCCGCAGATGTGAATGGCAAAGTTTACATGCTGATGAAAACCATATGCATGGATAAGATAGCTAC